CCAGCCCAATCAGCATCTAAGAAACCTTTCACTCTAAGATGTCCATTAGCTCGATATAACAGTCCAAGTCTAAGAACACATTTGAGATATCACAGAATACGAGTAACTGCCTCCCAATGTGGTATTATAGGACACCTCATGAACTGACTTACTATACTGACTGCATAGAAAATATTCGGTCGAGTAATAGTAAGACAATTGAACTTCCCAACCCATCTGTGATATCGACCCAGATTCTCAAATAATGCACCATCATCCATCAAAGGTTTCTAATTCGGATCCATAGGGACATCAATAGGTCTGCCACCCAGCAAACATGCTTCCTCTAGCATATCAAGTACATGTTTCCTCTGGGATAAATAAATACCCTGTTTAGATCGAGTCACCTCAATACCCAAGAAATACCTAAGTTTTCCTAAATTCTTAGTATAAAATCTATCCTACAAGAATATTTTTAACTTGGCAATCCCCTCAGAATCATTTTCAGTAATCACAATATCATCTACATAGACCATCAATAGAACATATCTAGCATCTATCTGTCTATGAAACACAGAATGATCTATTTGACATCTAAGAAGACTAAACTCTAAAATTGCATCTGAAAACTTACCAAACCATTCCCTTGGTGACTGCTTCAAACCATACAAAGATTTCTTTAACCAATATACACTCTTACCATACTCCCCACGAGAAGTAAACCCAGGTGGCTGCTCCGTGTATACCTCTTCAACCAAGTCACCATGTAGGAAGGCATTCTTGACGTCTAACTAAAACAAGGGCCAATCAAGATTAGCAGTCAAAGAAATCAAGATACGAACAGAGAAAATTTTGGCAACATGAGAGAAAGTCTCCTCATAATCAACACCATAAGTCTGAGTAAAGCCCTTTGCAACAAGCGGGGCTTTGAGACGCTCCACAGAACCATCTGGATAAAATTTAGCAGTATACACCCAACAACAACCAACAGTTCATTTACTAGGAGGTAAAGGAACGAGATTCCAAGTTCCATTATGATGTAAGGCATCCATCTCCTCCTCCATAGCTTTCCTACAACCCGGATCAGATAATGCATCCTGTAAATGCTTAGGAATAGATATAATAGATAATTGAAAGGTAAAACAAGAGAAGACAAGAGACAAGGCATCATATGAAACAAAATGAGCAATAGGATGATTAGTAACACACGAACGAGTACCTTTTTGAAGAGTAATAGGTAAAGAGTATAAATTATCTGATGTACCAGGATCAGAAGGTGGCAAGGAAGACGGTAAGGGCACCTTAGTTGATGGTCGAGGATGGCGAGAGTAGACACGGAGAGGTAAAGTAAATGGTAACACAGTGGGCAACGAAATATCTAAAGATAAGGAAAGAGATGGTGGTATAAGAGATAACCCAAAGTCCAGATCCAAAGGCTGAGAAGCTGCTGAAAAATATAAAACAGATTCCTCAAATGTGACATCGACACTAGTAAAGTATCGGCGCAGAGAAGGACTATAGCAACAATATCCCTTCTGTGTAGGGGAGTAACCAAGAAATACACAGTTGGTAGCTCAAGGGTCAAGTTTGTCAAACCCAAGACCCAAATTGTGAACATAACAGACACATCCAAAAACCTTAGGAGTCAAGGAAAATAGGGGCTTACCAGGAAAAAGGATAGAATATGGACTTTGCCTATTTAACACAGAGGATGGCATATGATTAATAAGATGACAAGCAATAAGAACAACATCACTCCCAAAATATCAGGGAATATTCATCTAGAATAACAGGGCACGGGTGACTTCCAACAAATGACGGTTCTTGCGTTCAGCAACACCATTCTACGGAGAGGTGTAAGCACAAGAAGTTTGGTGAATAGTGTCGATTTTACTAAGATAAGTTGAAAAAGGATCAGATTCATATTCTCGAATATTATCGGAACGTAAAGTACGTATATAACAACCATACTGAATTTTTATTTCGTACGAAAGGTCTCAAATATAGAGAATAATTCAGACCAAGCTTTCATAAAAAATAATCAAGTCACATGAGAATAGTCGTCCACAAATGTCGTAACATAAGGATATTTATTAGATTAAATATTCTTTATTGGATCCCATACATCAGAATGTACTAACTCAAATGGACTAGATACATGATTATTGAATCTAGACTGAAATGACACACGGTGATACTTACTAAGTTGACAAGCTTCACGAGACAAGGACTACACATAACTAAGACTGGGAACTTGGCACTTCAGATTCTGGAGAAAGGGATGTCCAAGATGACAATGCCATTGAAAAGGAGACAATGAGGTCTATAGAGCCCGAGTAGGTGAATCAAAGTCAAAGTAATATAGGCCACCAACTTCATGCCCCATACCAATCTTTCTCTTTGTCTTGAGATCCTAAAAGACACAATAAGAGAGATAAAAAGTTACAAAACACAGAAGATAGGGACATATTAGGACTCAAGTGAGTAGTCCCCAGGCCTGAAACTTTAAAACAAATATCATTAGCAAGAGTAACACTACATGTAGAAGAAGCAGACTGATAAGTAGAAAAAATATCAAACGCACCAGTCATGTGGTCAGAAGCGCTAGAGTCTATGATCCAGGGACTGCGAGTGGAGGACAATAAACAAGTGAAAGCAGTACTTGATTGGGCAAAAGTAGCAGTGGAGGAAGATGGGACAGCCTATTACTGGGACAAAAACTGAGCATACTCCTCTCGTGTAATAGTAACTGACCCGATATCTAGTGGAGCTGACCAAGGTACGGAAGCAACAACAAAGGTGTCATCCTGATAGGAAGCATAATTCCTAGCACTAGAAGGTTTTCCATGTAAATCTCAACAGAAATCAATAGTGTGTCCTCCACAGCCACAGTGAGTACAGGAACGAGGTCCACTATAGCCCCCACGACCACTTGTATGACCTCCTGTACGACCTCCTCGACCACCATGACCACCTCGATGACTATCACTATTGCTACTAGGAACCACAAGAGTTGAGCAATCAGTGGAGACACCATAATCGATGCCTACAGTAGAAAAAATAGCACGCTGTATACGAGAGAAAACTTCAAGCAGTGAAGGAAGACTAGAACCACCCAAAATCTAAGAACGAATAGCCTCATATTCAAGTTCAATCCCACTAAAAACCTAACAACATTCATGTCCTCATGTTGCTTTTGCCAAATTGCTACATCAGTAGTAAACAGATGGTAGGCCTTCATCTCCTCACAGACTCCCCGAACATGAAAATAACAATCCTCAATATTCAGAGTACTCTATTCCAGCTGAAAGTACTCCTTACACACCTCATAAGCTCGGGTAAATTACCTGTACCAGAATAAATAGTAGCCAAGTGATCACAAATCTCCTTGGCAGTGTCAAGGTAGAGTAGAGTAGATCTAATATTAGGCTAAATGTAAAGAAATAATTTGAGCGTCCTCTTGTTCCCACTAATCATACCCAGGAGTATTTTCCTTGGGTTTAGGACCCACCAAATATTTTTTAAATCCTTTGCCTCGAAGAAAGACTTGAACAGACTGGGACCATAACGTTTAATTGGCCTCATTGAGTTTAACAGAGGACATGGGACCATTAATAAGAATAGAAGGAGGCAAAGATGGAGTAATGGACCTGGTATCTTGCTTGGGTTCCATAACAGTTCAATAAATAGCAAACAAGGATAGTGACCTCTAAACCAGAAGAAAACAGGCTGAACCAGAAGTGTTACACGGCTGAACCAGAAGTGTTACACTGCTGAACTGGACAGGCTAAGCCCTCTGAACCTGGACCACTGAACTAGGCTGGTTTAACTTGTTGGATCAGTGAACCAGACAGATTAGGCACGTTGGATAGCTGAACCGGGGTGAAAAACTGACTGAACCGGTGCAAAACTATCTAAACCGGACTTCAAACACTCACTGGACCACTAAATCGGGACTAATTCAGTCAAGGCTGGACCGGTTTAGGCTGACCGGGGAGGCTGGACCCGATTTAGTTAGGTTGGATCAGGGCCGGGTTGGACTGAAGTGGGTCAGGTCTGGACAAGGGTCTGGACCTTGTCTTCTTCGTTCATTGATTAGGGTTTCAGTGAACCCTAGTCTTGACTGCGCCTCACCACCACTACAAACGGCAGCCCACCACAACAGCTACACCACCACCACAACTCCGACAACCCTGGTCTTTGACTGAGCCTCACGACCATGACGAATGACAAACGACGGCGAACGACAGACGACCACCACAACAATACCACCACCACCGCTACACTTCGACAAACACCAACACCACAACAGTACCACAAACAAACCACCACCACCACGCTTCGACAAACACCGGCACCACCACAATACCACAAACATAATTAATTTATTTAGAATATATTTATGATCGTAATTGCTCTGATACCATGTTAACTGTGGAGAATTAACACAATATTAGAGAGAAACAGAGAGAAGTTAAAAACTTAACCTACCTCTCATGCATCACTTGTATTTATAGTTAACTCACAATAATAAGAATTATACATATACCTTCTTACTATTAACAATTTACACATTCTACTCTAATATTCTTAACAACAAAGATGTGCAATAATATCCTCTAAAAAAATGATCAATAACAAGTATAGGATCAACCACCAGATCTCATTTGAAAAGAAGTCAAATGAGATAAAAGTTCATTCTAGGAGAAGGTTTTCATAGAAATCAATGTACTCAAGAATATCAGTCTTCTTAATTCAAGTAATCGCCTAATCATAGAATTCATTTCAACTAGAATCGCTCCAAGCTTCATTTCCTAAATATGATAGGCTCTTACTATATTGCCCATGATATTTTTCGCAACATACACTAGATTAAGAAAATTCTAAAAGGATTGATATGTTCATACCTTCTTATCTGTCCGAATGGATATGTAAGAACGGTCCAGGGTAGAGATGTCTACCGTCTCCTCCATCAATTTCAAATAGAACAACATGTACTTCCTAATACAAGTAATAAATTTTCAAGAACTTTCTGGTAGGTTAACTTCCAGCACCTTCATGTTCCCAGAAAGACCAATTGTTTTCCACCTGAGACAGAAATAAAAATGAGTTGATAGTTTTATTACAATACATAAGGTAACCACTAGCACTCAAAATAAAAATATAGAAAGGAGGACAAATTCCATTTTACCCTCTTGTAGTATACACCTTATTAGATTTATTAGAGTTATCATTAGGCTAAGAATTTTTGTACCTTTTTGTTCATTAATATGGGCACGTCTCCCAATCCAAGGGTAAGCTAGTCACTCTTTTACTTCTGCCTTTCTCTTTTATCTCTCTCTAGAATCTCAACATAGTATTAAAGCACCCAAAACCCTAACCCTGCATGGTCCCATTTTGAATGGGTCTTTCATCATGTAGTCATTTGATAAGCGAAAACTATGGTGTAATTCCGAAAGATTGTGTTGGTTCCTTTCTGATTTATAGACAGATTCGAATTCACAAATTTCTAGGCTCTTGTGATTTGTTAAGGTTCAAGAGGAATTTCAGGTTCCATCCTAAACATCTCCAACAAAAACAAAAGTAAAATGACAAAAGGGGTTTTGATTGAGAAACCCATAGTTCAATGACACGAAAGAGGAGAACAGATTCAAGAAGGAAAAAAAACCCAAAAATATTAAGAAAATGCGATTGTTCAAAAACAGAGGAGAGAAAAATTGGAAGAAAAAAGCAGAGGGGAAAAGAAACTGAGGGTTTAAAAGAAGAAAAAAGGAGTGAACAAGACCCACCTCTTCCTCTTCCTCTTCCCCTTCTTCTCAGCTAGTCATATACACAGTAGAATGAGTGGAGTGTGACCAGTGAATGGGTCTCCCATCCAACCTTATAATTATTTACAAGTACAGGTATCAAAGGTTATTTAGTCGGCACCAACGTTCAAAAAATTATGTAATAACAATACAGCATCTTGTGTCGATAATCTTTCCAGTAATAACAACTTCACTTTTTTTTCCGCAATTACTCCCCTAGAACTAAATAAAGTAATTCATTGCTTTGTGGTGTTAAAACATATTATTACTTCACATTTTCATTTTCTATAATGCCAACAAAGCAGTAAAAAAAGAAATGAACAAGAAAGAAACAAGAGAACACGGTCTATTTGGTCCTGTCCAAACATACCTTCCTTTTTTGACCATACCATCAATTTCCCACATATTTATAGTAAAGGAAGAGCGAGATGACTTAAAGCAAAAGCAAAGCTCCTCCTTAGCCTTCTCGAGATCCCCACTCTCAACCCTCCTATACAACCCTTGAGCAAGCAAATATCTGGCTTTATGAAAATATTTGAGGTCCCCATCAACACAAATTTTCAGGGCCGAAAGGCAATCATCGTAAAGCATATGCCACACCTCTTCCAACTTATAGTCAGAATTGGCATCAATACTTCCCTCAACATCCACTGGCAACTGTGAAGTTTCAAGGTCCATTCTATCAAACATATTCATGACGGTATCCTTTATAGATTGAGTAAAGGAATATGCTGCAACAACCTGAAGAAATCCAGCAACAAATAACAATAATCAATAAATATGCATGCAGTAGCTTAAACCTATGCAAGTCCAAAAGATCATATGCCAAAAACATTTGCAATGAAGAAGTCAAAATATATCCTCCTTCTCTATTTTTGTGTGTGTGCATCTATCATTTTGCATGCTTCTGCATCAACATCTACATACAAATGTATTATGCATACAAAAGCACCGGAAGTAAAAAGTCTTTGATGGAAATAACATTAAAGACAAGGAGAGAACAAAGAGGCAGAAACAGTAATAAAAACATACAGTAAGTTTCACAAAGAAAGAAACCTTTATAGCTTGTTCATTTTGTTTCCCAACCGTATAGAGCAACTTCAAGTGTGAAGCATGCATCATGTAGAAAGGATCTATAGCTAATGGATTCAAAGCAATTGCCTTACCATAATATGAGAATGATATATCATGCGAGTATCCGAGCTTTTCACAGAGTTTTCCCAAATAAAATGCATGAGACCAATCTTCCCTGTGAATACAGATTTTCATATTAGTTGGTCCAATTTTTATATGTGAAGTCCAGAAATAATAAGGATAATAACTACAAAAAGAAAATATATTTATATTCAAAAGCCTTCTTGAAATGTCTCATTGAATTCTTGCAGAACATTATCCATGATGTATCCTTTGCGGGTACCATAGATCTTTGATCATAAAATGGCACCACATTCTGAAGACCATCATAGTACACCAATGCCAATAACTCATGTATCTTAGCTTGCAACCACACAGAATTTGTCGCAATGGCTGACAACACACATATCATATAGCAAATAGTAGAATTTAGGATCAACAAGAAAACCACTGGCACCTAGTCCTCCAACATAAATTCATGGTTGCTCAAGCAACTTCAATGGGCCATCTCCTCGTTCCGCCTGCTAGCCTATTGGGCTGAGACGTGGAAGTTATATGTTGGTGCAGATTCTACTACAAGACGAGCCAAATCTGGAAAATTACTAGTATACTAATCATCATAAGTAGAACATTTTAACAATTTAATGGGATACATGTAAGATAATGACTATCCAAATTCAATAATAACAGATGATGATGATCCAAGATTAGCAATCTCCATAAGCTACATGCTGTAGCAAAATCTTTAGTAAGATGTAGATATCTAATAACCATAGTGTTTTTAAACCTACACAACTAAGAAATAATGAATCCTGTTGGACCGCTGTGTTGGCCAAAGCCAAAGTATCAACAAGCACCGCCTGCCTTCTTCGACTTGCCTCAACTCCACTATATAATAAACCATAATTAGCAGTCCCTTTCAAGTACTTCAACAATCGAGATATAGCATTCTAATGTTCTTTATTAGGGTTATGTGTGTATCTACTTAACCTACCAATAGCATGTGCCGCCCCAAAAATCAGGGGTCCTTTATTAGTCGTTGACCATCCGTCAACTTGCGAAAAAATACTTGTGATAGTTGCACATCTCGATTCCACGTTAATAACATCCCCTTTATTGGGGTTTTAACCCATACGTAAAACCCGTGTTCATTTTATCATTGGATCTAACCATGGTGCAAAGTACCACTATTCATACCCCATTACGGTCCAATTATATCCTTAGAACCCAAGAACTCATAGGCCGAAGGCTTGGCAATGTAATCTTAAAATTTTAAATTTTTGGAAAACCTTTCGGAAGGTTTTTGCTCGACCTTCTGAAAGGTTTTACTTACTGGAAAAGTTCTTCCAGAAGGTTTTCATCGACCTTCCGGAAGGTTTTTCCTATTGGATAACAATTTACATTAACCTTCCAAAAGGTTTTCATCGACCTTCCGAAAGGTTTTACCTGTTTTTCTACAAATCCTTCCTTCTTCATTTCCAACTCATTCCAAACCACCACAATTCCATCTAAAACATGTTTAACAATGTTTTCCACAAAAAATCTAATATACACAAGTCCTATTACAACAAATCCATACGATTACACTTCAAAATGGAATTTTAACAAAGGTTTTACAAAACTTGATTGCAAAAGCAACAAGCCGACACTTCTTCACCCTCGAGTCCCTGAATGAGTGTCATCCACCGGAATGTACTCTGCACCTAAAATATTTTCCTGTATAGGGTGTGCTATGCCCAGTAGAGTATTTCCTACAAGGGCTACTCCCCAACCTAAGTGCATATGCAATGTTCACATCCAACATTTCACAAACAATAACCGTTCCAATCAAGACTAATCAATCTATGTTGGAACCTAACATGTCATGTCATGATATGAGATGATACCCACTCATGCAACTCAACTTTAGCTCTCACCGGATCCTTTCCCCCATACAATGCCATGAGTATTAAGACCGGGCTCTCCAACCCCCGCTATTGGTTTCACTCATCCAATGACCATTTTAAAAAATTTTGGGTCTTTCTTGGAGTGGGTATTTATGGACTTACACCAACGGTCACCCAACCGACACATAATTTATGGACTTCCACCAACGGTTCCACATACACCGACATACTTTATGGACTCTTATACCAACGAAAGTGCGTATCCGAATACCAGGTCTCTCACCCGAGGGATAGTCTAGCCCTTCTTGCTACTCCGACCCAATTCTTTTCATGCAACCTTGCGACTCAACCGGATATTCAATCCAACTTTTTCGAGTCCACCCATCATCCACCTACATGGTGTTTGATGCCAACCATGCACCCACACCCAAAAATTGTAATGTCTCTGTGCATATGCAATGTAATGCACCATTGCCATTTCAATGTCATGCCCACATGTAATGAATGTCATATGAGCAACATTAACACATGTATACATATATCATGCATATCATCACCAATTTCATCACAATGTCAATATATCAATGAGCATATATCAACATGTTCATATCCAACCATAATCCATAAGCATGTTATTGCATATATGCCAATAACACACTTAATTTTCAAAGCATAATTTAAACACATAGCATGCCCACACAGTACAAATTTTTCATGAATCACTTTAGGGCAAATTCACATATCCCCAAGGTACCAAATTCCATGGAATTACACATGCAATCACCACATATATCAATTCCAAGCTAGGAATTCATTTGTTAAACCTTTTCTATACCCATNGCATTCACCACATATATCAATTCCAAGTTAGGAATTTATTTGTTAAGCCTTTTTCTATACCCATTTCACCAATTCCATAACCATAGGCAAGTGATATATATCTCTATCAACCTACCTATTACATACAACACCCTAGGNTAATTCCACAATCATAGGCAAGTGATATTTATCTCTATCAACCTGCCCATTACATACAACACCCTAGGTTATAAAATAAACCCAAGTAAGAAGAAACCCTACCTCTTGAAGCATAAACCCACTTGGTAGAAACCTTCAAGACCTCAATTTTCTCCCAAAACCCTTGATTCCAACAAGCTCAATTTTGGAACTTCGGTGAAAGCCCTCGTTTTTGGTACGTAGGCATAGCCCTCGACGAAAAGACTGACTTTAACTCTTAACCCGAGTGGATTCGAGCACTCGATCTCCGTAGATCGTAGAGAGAAGGTGGAGAACTCAAGCCTTTTCCCTCTCTTCTTTCTCACGTTGGAACAGACTGAAGAAATGGGGAGAAAATTAGATTTTCTCCCCTATTTATTGTCTTAGAATACTTGGCCCACAACGCACCACACGATCCACTTTTTCCCTAGTCCATTTTCACCCCGAAACGATTAAATTTAGACTCGGTTCAAGTTCAAAATAATTTTATTTTTAATTTGCCTTAAATTATTTTCCAAATTTCAACTTTTTATTAAAAATTCCGTTTTTGGGTAACCCGAGACTCAACCGCCTCATAAAATGCAAAAAATCTGACTAACTCAGAATTGGATGAAATTTGACGTGGTAACTAGATTTCACGAGACGAATCCAACGATGAGGTCCGTTTCGTCATCTGAGTTCTAGAAAATTTCAGGATTACAATCCGTACTATAGTGGCAGAATTATCATTTTGTCCTTTTTCATAAAAAGTTTAAATTTACTAGGTTTTACATAGCATATGCAATATCTGAACGTGTACAATTCATAAGATACATTAAACTTCCAATTATTTGTGCATAATCATTTTGACACATAGGATCACCTTTATTTTTCTTTAGTTTAACGCTAGCATCATAAGGTGTAGAAATAGGCTTATGATCAAAATGATTATACTTTCTGAGTATCTTATCCACATAGTGTTCTTGAGACAACATCAAACTATTTGGAGTTCTCAAAATTTTAATTCCTAAAATTATATTTGCCTCCCCCATATCTTTCATGTCAAACTTAGACACTAAAAACTTTTTAGTATTGGTAACAACCTCTAGACTTGTACCTATTATAAGCATATCATCAAACATATAAGCAAATAATAACACCATAATTTTCACAAAACTTACAATATACACATTTGTCAGCATCATTAATTTTGAAACCATTTGACACTAACACATTATCAAATTTCTCATACCATTGTTTCGGTGCTTTTTTTAACCATACAATGATTTAATCAATTTACACACCATATGTTTTTACTTGGTACAATAGATCCTTCCAGTTGTTCCATGTATATTTCCTCCTCCAAGTCTCTATTCAAGAACGTCGTTTTCACATCCATTTGATGAATTACTAATTTATATATAGAAGCTATAGCAATCAAAATCCTAATAGATGCTATTCTTGTAACCGGAGAATAAGTATCAAAATAATCAACATCTTTCTTTTGTTTATAACCTTTGGCTACTAGTCGGGCTTTGTACTTATCAACGGTGCCATCAATTTTCAATTTGCTTTTAAAAATCCATTTGCACCCAATAGGTTTTGCACCAGGAGGTAACTCTACTAATTCCCAAGTATGATTAGACATAATGGAATCTAACTCATCTTTAATTGCTTCTTTCCAAAAAGGAGCATCTGGTGACCTAATAGCTTCCTCGTATGTTTGTGGGTCATTGTCAATTAAAAATGTAAAAAATCCATCTCCTAAGTTAGTCTCATTCCTTACTCTTTTACTCCTTCTTGGTTCAAGTACTTCTTTCCTAGAGGTATCATATTTGGGTTCATCACTAACATGAATTAATTTACTCTCATTTGATACCTTATTTTTCATAGGAAAAATATTCTCAAAGAATATAGCATTTTTTGCCTCAATAATTGTGTTAGGTTCTAATATGTTATGCTCACTTCTTATCACTAGAAACCTATATGAAGTACTATTAATCGAATTGCCTATAAAAACACAACCTGAAGTTTTAGAACCAAATTTTCTCTTCTTAGGTTCCGGTAACATAACTTTTGCTAAACACCCCTACACTTTTAAGTATTTTAAGGTTGGTGGATGCCCTACCCAAAGTTCATAAGGAGTTTTTCCTATTTTCTTATGTAGAATTCTATTTTGAATATGGCATGCCGATAGAATAGCTTCTCCCCATAAATTATTCGGCAGTCCCGAACTTATTAACATAAAATTCATCATTTCTTTTAAAGTTCTATTTTTCCTTTCGGCTACACCATTAGATTCGGGTGAGTATGGAGGAGTAACTTCATGTATAATACCATGTTGCTCACAATAGTCATTAAAAGGATTAGATTCATATTCTCCTCTCCTATCAGTCTTCAACCTTTTTATTTTCTTATTCAATTGATTTTCGACTTCTAGTTTATACTTGATAAACATTTCACTTGCTTCATCCTTATTTCTTAANTAGTTGATTTTTGACTTCTAGTTTATACTTGATAAACATTTCACTT